GGGTCAATGTGAATATATACATGATGTATACACATTTCATTGGCAATCCAGTCCCGGGTTATATCTTATTTTCTAATTATCCTAAACTGAATAGGTCATTTCACGTATCCTAGATGAGTGGAAGTTTATAATAGAAATAAGCAAAGCTGTTATTCTTATAAATATTATGTAGTGATGTAGGCTCTATACAATTTGCTGAAGACAAATACATATTTATATATTTTCCTTCAACAAATAGAACTATATATAGTTCTATTCGAAACACAATAGAAATAAGTTCCGTGTAATTTGTGATCTATTAGGATAAAAGAAGAAGACCCATTTCCACTGAAAGACCCCATAGTAGCCACAATTGCCAAGGCTCATAATAAAACACCTGCACAAGTGTTGATACATTTCCAGTTACAACGAGGATTAATCGTCCTGGCAAAAAGTGTTACCCCTGCACGAATAAAAGAAAACTTCGAGGTAAAAACAAACCTTCATCAATATGTTTGTTAGGTAATATTTTTTTCGAGCGCTACAATGAATTCTTGTATATCTAATACCTAGAAATACAATTGGATGACTGACTTGTTACAGTTTGTCATTTAAGGTAATGGACTTTCAATTGAGTTCAGAAGAAATGAAGGCAATCAGTGGGTTAAATCGCAATTATCGTGGATTTTTACTGGAATGGTAAGCGCGGATCATATCGCTTTTAAAGCACTTTTGTCATATCTGTTTTGTTTGTTATATAACTATATAAGCAAGTTATCATGAAAGGTCTCAACCTTAAAAAATAACCTCCCAGTTCTTCAGTATTAAGACTCAATTCATTAATATGCTCGCTATGTGAACATCTCTACATGAAAATGAAACGCAACACATGTCTAGTTCATAGCATTAATATTATAAAATACTGTGATGAATTTGTTTTTGAGTATCTGTTAGTCGACTTAATTAGCTGATTATTAGCGAATTGCTGTGTTATGTCTGTCATCGTTTAGGCGAGGTCCTGGACGGAACTCGACTCAGTGATTTGGAACTAATTTCGAGATAACCGTCGCTATTCTGACTCCTATTTCTGACAGTTAGTATTCGCAATTATTAATGTAGTGAACGATTAATCAAAAGATATGACGTGTTCAGTACTTAGTGTGATTAGTTGAACGTGTGAAGGCCACGCCTTAGAGTCTTAATACTGTTTTGTAATTGGTTAGAGTTTTAAAAATGAATAAAGTTGTTTTTAGTTGGTCTTGGCGAGCACACAAGGGCAGACTGAGGCAGTCCAGTCCTGGAGAGTCCAGTCCTGGAGAGTCTTGGGGCGAGTCTTGACGCAATCTAAGAGAGTCTTGAGTCAGCCTTGCGATAGTCTTGGGGATTTTTCCCCAGGGCGCTGTGTCTTATAGAGTACTCGAATTACCGACTAAGACGAGAGTTGAAACATATTTCGCTGTGTGTGTTTATTTGACTGTAAAGCTTAAGTGACGTACCCGATCCCGTACCTCAAGGGGACGAGATAGAGAGACGAGACGAGTTTCCCCCCTGACACGAGTGGAGAACCCAGAGGTCAAGAATTTCCCCCTGCAAATACACAAATGATTGTCACGAGGTATGTTAGCGTCCGACCACAGCTGTGATAAGAGGAACGCCTTATTCACCTCGTGTTGCGGGTTATTTGGCATCCTTCCCATTATAATATCGAAATAAGCTAGCCGGTGAGTTGATGGTACATACATACATACCAGACACAAAAGATGTTTTACGATATCAATAGTATACATATTTCAAAACATTCTTTCCATTGCGACTGAAATCCAGGTCATTCTAATCAACCTTCGATCAGTATGACAGTGTATACATAATAAACAAAGACGCCTAAAATCAATTTCAAAATTATTTAATAAACCAGTATAACAAACCGAAATCCCTGAAATGCGCATCTTGCTTGGCACAACGTGGAACCATTTGACCATACAACAGTGAACAGAGGTCAAAAAACAATTGGCATATTCAAACCCAGTAACAATGAAACCACGATTGTTTACACACAAAACCCAAAACCATACAGTGGCTGGCTATCAAAGTGTAAACCAAAGTCACAAGACTATTTTGAAGCTTCATAATACAGCTGTCAGTGGACAGTGTCAGTCATTAATCATGACTTCGTACTTACAGCGTCAGTTTAATAATATTAATAATGTCAAATATTTGGCTACAGCGCCCTCTAGCACTTGTTGGAAATCATCTATATTTGGAATGCTCTGATTGGATAGAAGTTTAAGCCAAGCAAGAATTGATAGAATTGGACGGATTCAAATAAGCATGGACCTCTAATTTGACAGGGAGGGATATTTATAATGCAGTAAGCTGTTCTAACTGCTGTTGTGATAGAGTTGTTGTCAAATGCAGTTGTTGGTCCACTGAAAAATCAAAATGATGTTTCCTTGTAACTTAGACTTT